GAACATTTTTTAGACCGTTGGAAGTCATGTTCAATTGAACCCATTTTCAAATCTGGAGACAAAAGTCTCATCTCCAACTATCGAGCTATTGTAAAGCAGGGGGTCTTTCCTAAAATTTTCGATCACATACTTAACAAAAAGTTACTCGAACATTTTCAGCATGCCCTAACCAGCTGCCAACATGGGTTTTTGCCAGGGTAATCAATAGTAACTAATCTGTCTCTTATTTCAAATCACATTATCACTGCAATGGAACAACATTCGCAGCTCGATGTCATATACACCGACTTCTCAAAAGCTTTTGATAAAGTTGATCATAACATTCTATTACTGAAGCTCAACAAATTTGGTGTTTCCGGCACTTTACTGAACTTTTTTAGAAGTTTTCTTTTTGGTAGAAAATTATCGGTGATAATAAACTCAATAAGCTCGAATACTGAGGTCTATGCCACATCAGGCATTCCTCAAGGAACTCACATTGGCCCTCTGTTGTTTTTACTTTTTATAAATGACTTACCGTCGCATATCATGTCGTCCAAGTGCTTAATGTTCGCAGATGATGTTAAGATATTCCTCAATATCAATAATCTTCTTGATTGCCAAAAACTCCAGCAATATTTAAACATATTCTTAAATTGGTGTACCGTCAATAACCTAAGCCTAAACATTAGCAAATGTTGCGTTGTTTCCTATAGCCGCCGCGCATATGTCCATACCTTCAACTATTCTCTGGATGGCGTTGATTTGTTGCGTAAATCCGAAATTAAGGATTTAGGAATTATCTTTGACACCAAATTAACTTTTTCAAAACATATTGATCTGGTCTCATCTAAAGCGTATTCGATGGTAGGTTTCATAATTAGGAACACCAAAGATTTTAAGGACCCTATGACTCTGAAAACACTCTATATTGCTTTGGTAAGGAGTATTTTAGAATATGGGGCGATTATATGGAACCCATACTACACAAAGTACTCTGATAAAGTAGAAATGATTCAAAGAAAATTTACCAGATTTGCTATGAAAAGAGTGTTTTTTGAAAATGATATTCCAAGTTACGTATCAAGGAGGAAACTCCTTGGCTTACAATCTCTAGCGGACAGAAGGTCGTATCTGTCGCTGCTATTTGCTTACAATGTTTTATCTGGCAATATTGATTGCCCAGAAATATTTGTTCTTTTTCGAGTACAAGAATCTAATATAAATCTCAGAAATCCCAGAAAGTTTATTGAGGGTTCACATAAGTCGCTTTACTCTTACAACGAGCCGATAGCCAGAATCATTCGCCTTTGTAACACATTCGCTCCGCAAATTAATTTTAATGTTAGCCTTTCTTGTTTTAAGTTAAGCCTTTTTGCACTGTTTAATTAAATATCAAAACGTGATCATAGTCTGTAAGAAATTCTGTTTCGATGACTGAAATAAATAAATAAATAAATAAATAAATAAAAAAAAAAAAAAAAAAATCTATGTACAAAACACATTCACACAAGCACAAGCCTCCTTCCAATTTCAATTAAATTTTTTTACTTTTTAGATTATTTGCACATGTGTATCCTGTTTTCCGGTTTTAATTACTATGTTTTTATCATGGATTTACCGTTGACTTTTAAAAATTAAAAAAGTAGTTTGAAGATATTTGAAAAGGGGTTGCCAGCTGAATTTAGGGAATTAGATAATTGGAATATGTATCACAATATGGGTGTCATAACAAAGGTATTTGATACGGCTTTAATTGGAAAATAATTTGGAGAGGGTTACCACCTGTTTTAAAAGTCGAAGTTAAATTAGTTATACTCAAATTAAAGCGTCATACGTAAGAGTGTTTAGAAATGTTCAGCTTGAACGTGTAGAATCTTATGAGGAATTTGAAGAGGGTTACCACCTGTTTAAAACTAAATTCAAATATAATTATATTATAAGTTAAATGAGTTATTACAGGATAGGTTTTAATCAAACGAGCCTTGAAAAGTCTTTATTTCTACGCTACATATGTATGTACTATAGCCGTGGTGACCATATATATGAGTGCTGACTACGATACAAAAAATAATTTTGCAAATTTTTTCCACAACAACTTACAGATCTTAAAGCCTTCTTCAATGATCCCAGATGTATTAGCCCTGCAACAGTATTATTTTACCCCATAAAATTTGTTAAATAAATTCGTTCAAATTTAGTATATTAAGGTGCAATTTTATGTCGCTAAGGCTTACCACTGATTTTGGGATTTTTTTGTTTTTGTTGGCAGTGTTGCGGATTTTTTTCATACAAAGTATGTTCGACCATTTTTTTGAAAGAGAAGCAGAACTTTCCACTCGCACTTTATTGTACTAAATTATAATGAGTTACAAAACTGCGAACCAAATTTTTCTTCAAGATTCTAATGAAAAAGTTTGAAATTTTGGTGAAACATTGCAGAATTAATTTTTACAGTTTTTTGCATAAAGTTGGAAATTTGGTTTTATATGGTTTTTGTTAGGAAAAGAGCTCTACTCTCATAAAATAAATAATAAATATTAAACGAACGAAGGAAAAATAGCCAAAACTTACTAAAATGTCAATGTATGTATTCCTCAATACGAATCACATGCATTTAGATTAGAAAATAAAAACAGTTTATGGAGAAAATTACGATCATATACCAACATCACTTAAAACGCGTTCATAGGTATGCCATTTTAATGAGCTGTTAAGGCGTCAAAACACCGAATACGGGACAAATACAGGGCATTAAAATAAATACAGAACATTTGGCGTCCCGTATAAAATAAATAAATTACCAGGACAATGGGGCAAAAAAGCGGAGTGTCAGACGAAAGAGGTGCCAGCTGTTTTAAAAGTTTAATTCAAGCTACTCAATAATTTCAATGAATTATTTCTACACGTTAGGAGATTGTCACCTGTTTCAAATCTCAAATTGAATTCAAGATATAAATTAATTGAAAAAGTAAAAGAAATACTTTGAAGATGGTTAACCAAATTTAAAATCTCCTGTTTTTTCCATAATTTAAGTATGTTGTGATTTATTGAAATAAATTACTACTAATGTAGCACGCAGAAATTTCATACACTCAGCGAAGCGGGTGTCGGCCATCTAGAATATTTTAGTGAGTAACTGTTCATAGGTTGAACAATACAAAAACATATGCATATATTTTTAATTTATTTATTTTAAAACTAGTTTGCTCTCACGCGCTGCACTGAGTGTATGAAATTTCTGCGTATTACAATAGGTGTAATTTATTTCAATTAAAACTAACATATTTAAACTTAGCAAAAAAAGAGAATTTTTTTTTTTGGGGTTTTGGGTAGGTTGGCCGGTTTATATAAAACCACCGCCAGGTTATTCCTCTGCTTTCAAAATATATATCTTAGTACGTTGTATTCCAAATGTCGTATTCAATTGTCGCTCCACTGATACACGATGGTAATACCGCTAAGGGCCAGAACCACGTGCAAAAGCTTCTGCTTATGTAACGAACGTCTTATTATTTTCAATAATTAATCAATTATAGCAAATTAAAGTGTACTGTGATTTAATGGTCCACAAGTAACCAGGTTATTCCTCCAATTGTTAGGTATGTCAATGTATTAAAGATTAAAATTTAAATGGCTAAGAACAAAGTCCTCATGTCGCCAGGTTATTCCTCCAATTTGGTAATTTTTTGTATTTTAATGGCAGGGAGCTATGTCCTCATATCGCCAGGTTATTCCTCCAATTTGATAATTTTATAATTATTCGTCAATTATTTTAGGTTGTGTGTAAAAAATTTTCTGTTGCGTTATGTGGAACAGTTACAGTTCATGTTACTTTTTTTTTTATTTCGCAGTTACTTTGTTCATACGATAGTACCGTATCAACGGTACGCTTTAACATTTTCATTTAGTTTTTATATCAACTCTTTTTCTATAAACGTCTATTACTTTTGTAATTATTATATTATTTGTAGTATTATCTTCTCTTGTTTTTAAAACTTTTAATTTTGTATTTAATGAACCGACTTCATTTTTATGTATAAATTAATCAGATATTTACTTTAACACAAAACTCGACAGGTCAACACGACCATACTCGTCGAGGAGCCATTTTGAACAGGAAAAAGAGAATTTGAGATTTTTTTTAACCCCCTTCAACTAATTGTCAAACTAACCACTTCTTAAACTGAAACTGTCATGGAAAAATTCACTATGAAGGAAATGTTCTACAACTAAGTGATACATACCAATCGATTTCTTTGTTCGCCGAGACTCAAATTTGAAACTAAATTTTTATTTGCAATTTTCATGCAAAATGAAAAAAAAACAATTATTTTTGATTTTTGTATTATAAATCCAAAATAACCATTATTTCTGATTTTTATATTATATGTCTTAGATAATAGTTATTGAAGACTTTTATTTATAAAAGTCATCAATAAAAATCAGTCAGTGACTTTTAAATTTAAAAGTCATCAATATAAATCAGTCACCAACTTTTATTTTTAAAATCATTCGAGTAAAAGTCATTAACATTTTTCGCAGCTAAAAAGGTGTTGGGAAACAAAAGTTGACTACAACTTATTGAAATGACTTTTATAAGTATGATTTAAAAAATAAAACTCTGACTGATTTTTATTTATGACTTTTATAAATAAAAGTCTTCGATAACTGTTATCTAAGACATATAATTTAAAAATCAAAAATAACTATCATTTGCAGATTATTTATTTAAAAATCAAAAATAATCGTTATTTTCGATGTATAAAATAAAAGTCAGAAAGAAGAAGAGTAATTAAATAAAAGTCAAAAAATAGCGATTTTTTTATTAAAGTTTGTAACTGTTACGGTCCCTGCTTCTTAAACATACAAACTTTTTAAACCTCTTTCGTTATCTTATCACCAATACTCTGCCAAAAATGCTTCCATTCGTACGTAGTTTGAAAAATTCCCTTTGTATGGCAGGTGCCACGCCTACTTGCCTAATCGAGATAAAAGGTTTATTATATTTTAAATTTGGCTAAACAACACCAGTATACAAAATTTCATGATGATCGGTTGACCAAACAACCATATTCGCTTTCGGATGTATAATATTAAAAATAATATAATATAAGTAAGGATAAGTTTTTAAACTAAAATGCAAAAAGATAAAAGCATTTGTAATAGCATTTTCGTAGATTCTTTTTAGCTTTCACCATTCACATTGTAAACAGCGTCCATAAGGTAGATCGAAAAGTAGATCCTCTGTTGAAACAATTAGCTGTTCATTCTAAAAAACAAATGAAAATTTTATCAAAACATTGACTTGGGATATGTACATAGATTCAGTTACTTACTTCTATTATCGGTTCATTTTCGACTGCCGTCTTGCCACAATATAATTTCAAAGGACCACTTCGTTTAATCTCGCTGAGCACAATCATTATATTTCTCAAAAAATCGCTACTAATATTTGATTTTGTCAGATTTAGTACCTCCAACTTTGTGCAGTGTTTCGCAATTTCCAAAATTCCATTATCACTCTCCAAGCGACTGCTGCTGAAATGAAATTCGCGTAGCTGTTTCAATCGTTGGGCTAAAACTTCGAGCTGTTCGTCTTCAATGTCATCATCTTGTAATATAAGACGTTGCAAGTGTGTCATAAACCCTATGTATTCAATGTGGCGATCGTTTGACCAAAGGACACAATTAAAAATTAGCGTATGGATGCGTACGCCAAGCGCTTGAGCTAGTTTCCCCATTAAAAACACATCATAGTCACGTGTGTAACAAACGATTTTGCGCATGGATGGCATTCGCAATAGTTCATCGATGAAGAGCAATAGGTGATGATCATCTATCTTCAGCTCTTCCAATGTATGACAATCAGTTATCGCGGACAGCCCATCATCTAACACTGTGTTATATCCATAATAAAGTAAAGCAAGCTTTCTCAATTTCAATGTGTTGCAGATTTCGGCTAAATATTCTGTATCCAGATATTCACAACAGCTCAAATCCAAATCGGTAAGCAAGAACAGATTACTTATATATTTGCCCGTTATACCGCCCCCTAATACTAATCTGGTAATGTATGGGCAAAGTTTAGTTAATCGAAGAACGTCGGCATCATTGCTCTCATTTAGGTCGTGCGAAATAGTGCATTCGAGGAATTTTAATTTAGGGAATCTTAAGTGGGCAACCTGTTTCAGTTGTGCGCTTTTAATGCTGTCAATGGTTAACTCTTCCAATGTCTCACAAACGCTTGTCATTACATCGAGAAAGTCTTGACTGCCCTCTTCATTAAACTCCTTCATTTGCTTACATGATATTGTAAGGGCTTTCGATCGATATCGCCATAACCACTTTATCACCATATTCAGATGTCTGCACACATTTTTCATTGATAGCTGGTCATCCAAATTAAGGTACGAACAGATACAATAGAGACAGTCATCATTCAAATCCAGCAGCTTTGTCATCTAAAAATTTAAAAAGCAAGCTTTTAATAATACCAAAAAATAATGGGTCGATTACGGATGGCAACCGAAGTTCAGACAGTAACTGATTTGCTATATTGGCAACTATACTTTTTAGGTTGCCACAGAATTTTTTAATAAGAAAATTAATTTATTTTTTCAACTGATTCTTTTTTCGTCGTTTTGAGCATAGTGAGTGATAATAATAATATTATTGTTTCACTATGGTTTTGAGAAATTATTTGTATTTACAGTCAAGTCTGAGTTGGTGGTACTTGAAAATACACTTAATTATTGTGTCTATTCATAACATAACATACATTCTCATTTCAGTGGCTTTATCCATTGGCTACCCAACTGAGGTTGTGATGCTGTCCATAATCGACAACTAAAGATTTCTTCCTTATGTTAAATGTAAAAAAATACGGTAAAAATATTCTTTATGATATTTTGTGACCATGATATGATCCAAAAACAGAATTTCGGATATTTCTATGAAAATGATTAATTTTGGTCGATAGCCAACCGGGAGAAAAACGCAACCAAAACATTTTACCTTTAGTATATTTTAATTTAAATAAATTACATTTTATAAATTCCATTTTAACAGGGCTAATTATGAATAGTGTTGGTGTCGTCACGTAATACATATTACTTATCGAAATCGTTCACACAACAATCGGGTCTACGTAACCAGAACGACCCAGATTTATATTTGGCCAAGGACTGTCTCTCCAGCAACACTCCCCAAAAACACTTTGGGTAACGTGTATGCTGCTACCACAACAACAACGGGTCAGCAATAAATCGGAGGGCAAAAGTGTTTGCACCAGGGTCCATTAATAATATTGTTTTTATTGTTATAACAACATATCCAGGGTTTAGATATATTCAATACCCTCTATCGGCAATTTGCACAAAACTAGTTTCTGGTATTAGAATCCATTTCATCATTAATAGTAAATTATTCCAAAGAGCGATATATAAGGTCAACATTAACATCATCGGTTTTTATATAATGACCTAATGTAGATGGAGGGTATTGAACATAAATATGTGATATTATTTAGGCATCTAATTCAAAAATTGTTTCTAGGACATATTACAAACGAAATCAAATTCATATCCCCGATATACATAACTCAGCCCTTTTTCAGATCCAGCTGGGAAATCCATTGATAAATCAACCAAGCCTAGTGCTTGCCAAATTTTGGTATTCTGAAAAAAAGAAAAGGAAAAAATCTAGGCGCTTTTCTAATAAAGATTACTCACCATTTTTCGCACTTCATCCTCTAAGCCACTCATCATGTAATAGATATGTAATGCATTATTTCTATCCTGTTTCTTGAGTACATCCATTATTTGATAAAGCAACTTTCCATCTATATTAGGACAATAACTAACGTCCAAATATTCTAAGTGTACACATCGCTCGACGAAATGTAGAACGTGGTCATTCGTCAAATGTTGCCAATTTCTCAAACTAAGATACTCCAAGCAGTTCATTATGTTAGCCAAATTGAGCAGTGGATCGGGTGATAATTCACAGCTACAAAGGCAGAATTTTTTTAACTTACGGCCACCCTGCCACAGATTCAAATTTGAAGCCCAAGCAGAATCCAACGGAAATAATAAAGATCAACTGCTAAGCCAATTATACGCTCACCTTGATTTTTTAATACATCATGGAATTCTACTGTTTCGTATATATTAAAATCATGCGTATCTACATTCTGAATACTTCCAACGTCGATCTCAGAATCCAGCATTACGTTGAGTGATACTAGTTTTGGCATCAGCAGAACTTGAGGAAGACATTTTTTAAGCGGATGTAGATTTACTTTAAGAACTGCTAAATTATCACAATTCAACACAGGTGTCAAATCCAAATGACTCTTTCCGTCATATCTGCGCACATCTAAAATTCGCAAATATTTTAAACGGATGCAGATTGCCTCAAAATGGGTATTTTCAATTTCCAAAACGTTATTTGATGGCACGTACAAATACAACTCCTCCAACATTAGGAAATCACAAACATATCGGCCACTTAATGGTTCTCTCAGATGCAGTGAGAGTAGGTTTGGAACAGTTCGTACGAGTATCTTCATATCGCTGTCAGTAATCATGCTATATAACGATTTTTCCTCACCCTCAAAATGTTGTACACTTGGCAGGCAGACCGTGCTACTGATAGGTCCACAAATCTTCTCCTTTGCTTTTAAAATTTGCTTTATGTTAAGCAAAAACTTGTTTAAGGTTTCATCGCCAATCACTATAGACGTCAAGCTAGTACGTACTGAATGCAAAAAATATGTTAGATCTTGTATTTCTGGCAGCCAACCAAACCATTCTGATAAATTAAGTGTTCGATAGCATTTCTGCGAGCGCCACATACGCCTGATGATCGCTTCGAAGCGTTTGCAAACTCGAGAGATTTGAACCTGATTTCGAAGTTCTGGTACATTATTGAAGATATTCACCAAACAATCATCGTTTAAAATATCCATTTTTATGCGTATGATTTGGAATATATAAAAACTGATACAAACAAAGATCACTAATTAGTCCTGTGCAAATTTGTAGCTTCCTTTATACGCATATTTGTATATCAATCTTTGCTTATGCAATTACAAGGCAGAGAAGAAATAAACATAATACATACTTATAGAATCATGATACTACACATATATGTTTTAATAATCTTTATGCATGCATTAGAAGAATATAGTGCTCTGTGATACTTGCCGCCCAACTGATAGCTGATGCTAGCGCTGCTGGACAATTTTAGTTTAGATAATTGTTAACTTGTATAAGCTTGTAAATATATAAAAATCATGTATGAACATAAGAACTAAGATTTATTATATTTAAGTACCTTGATACAGATTTCCGAATATACAATTTTGTATTAGGAACTTGTTGAATTGGTAACAATTGTGCAAATCGCTATTTATCGCCAACCTTTGTAAACTTCTTTGACAATAGAGCCGGAAAAACAAACCATCCTGAACTGCAAAACACTCGATGAAACCAAAGAACGTAAATGTATAAGAAGCGACAACTCGCTAAAGTCGGCGAGTGAGGTCTGAAAGGTTGAGATGAGGAGTTCGCGTCCGTTTTAACATCCATTTTCGTAAACGAATTCGCCGCACATATGGTTTCGCGGCGATAAAGAACGTTAAGAAAAAGTGACCGATGATAGAAATAATAAAATGAAATGAAAAAAAACATGGCCGCGGCTCTTTTCGTTTATTTACTGACGGCATTTAACAATTTGCATGCGCATGTGCATAGATTTACTTTATTTTATAATTTTAAACAAATATAAATAAATTAAATACATGCGCGATGCAAGACCTTTATAAGCTTCCTCTTTAGTATGGAAATTGTAAAGTTCTAATTTATGGATGAAATTACCCCTTTTATATCAACCAAATGTACATTTATAATCAATAAATAATTTACATCAATTTGTACAAATGTACTCTTGCGATTTTCATCCTAACATGTGTATGTTTCTACATCCATGCAAATATACGTATATACGTACATATGTATGTACATATACGCATATGCCACCAGAATACAACAATAACAAATTCATTCATAAACGCATGCGCATATTCTTCAAGGTCAAACTCATTCATTCATAATTCAATGACCATACTTCTCCCCGCAAACTCATCGCCCACAAGCGCAACTTCTGCGCGAGGGCCACAAAAATTCTAAAATGTAAAATTGAAGAAATCACAGCCAGTCAAATGAAAAGTTGCAACTCAGCAGTAAAATTTGAGGACGTTTGCAAAAATAACTTATCTCGAGTTAAGACATATATTCTGTAAACTTCTAAATCGCAGTGGTTTTCCAACTTTTAAGATATTAATTAGTTGTTTAAGATTTTATTTTAATAAAAAACAAAATAAACATGCATTTTTTGCACAAATGGCCCCGGATATTTTGATGTCAACTCAAAACTTCTAAAATCACATACATAAGTGGTTTTACAACAAATGTAATTTGGCAACATGGTTGCATTCACCAGCTTCGGTCATCAATTTTAAAATTTTTGTAAACCGATCGCTTACGATTTGTTTACAGTTGACTCTAGATACTACGAGCAACATGTATACGAATTCAAAAAATTTAATTATTTTGCATTATTGATAATTGCAAAGCTCTGAAGCATGTATAAGTGAGTGTATACATACAGACCTATTCTCCGTTGGTAACACAAATTTTGTTTACTATCATCAAAAGCGATAAGCACAAAAAATCGTACATTAACAAGCCCATTCTGCGATGGTAATTTTTTTTACCCAAAAATAAAGTTCCTCTCCTTTTTAAACCGTTTTCGCATACTGCGCACTTTTGTAAACAGTAAAATTTGTTACCATCTCATAAGCAGGTAACAAAATATTGCCCCATGAAATATGCAACAACAGAATTTCTACAAAACTTCATAGCTGGAATGCTGAATACATTAAAACGTTACCAAGGAACCTTGAATTGCGGTTACAAGAAGTGCTAACAATGTTTGGTAACAAAATTTGCTGGTTACAAAATATTCGGTAACAAGCAGATTAGAGCTACAGGAATTCAAGTTAGGAGTAGCCTACTGTAAACGTACATATGTATGCGCGTAAATATGTCAGGACGCGGCATTTTGCAGGAATTTAAGAATTTGTCAAGATAAAGATGGCGGAGGACGTGGGAGAAACGGAGACAACTTATGTTTCACATTTACGCGTTTGTTTTGGCGGAGGATGTGAGAAAGACGGAGACAACTCATGTATCACATTTATGTGTTTATTTTTTGCATGCATATGAACAAAAAATTGGAAAACATTTGTTCTTGCCCGATAACAAAATGTATGCATACTCATGTATAAATGCATAGATTTAAATTAAACTTATGCCATCCCTTTATAATAAACATTAGTTTTGCTAATAAAGCCGCCATATACACACTTTATCCACCCAATCGCCCGACACATAACTTTTTTTGCACACTTTAAATATGTAAATTTCCAGATGAAAACAAAACATAAGTACACTCATATATAAATGCATAGATTTATTATTAAACTAATGCATTTTTATATAAAAGTACACTGATCTTGTTTAAAATAATGATCACTTTTATCCACATACACCGACAATCGACACTTGTTGACGAACACTTTGCACTCACAAACACCTTTTTATTATTAATATAGACACTTTCACATACAAGCACCTCCGTATTTTACACAAGCACTGAATATTCTATATTTCACACCATAATTTATATATTTTCTAAATTAAATTGCATATTTTCAACCACTTGTGCAAATAACCACAGAAATTCACACACATTTGCCGCTTTTCTTCTGTTTTGCTGGCATATTCCGCATTCGAGGCGAAAATCAAAAATCTGCCGCGGACAGAGTCAAAAGGGAGACGAACTCCTCATCTCAACCTTTCAGATACGGTCAAAATCGTCCCGGCACATTTTCAAAGTAACGAGTTGTCGCTTCTTATACATTTACGTTCTTTGGTTGTGGGGATTATATTTTTTCTATCTACAATCATTACCAAAAAAAAGTGATTTTACACAGCAAGACATGTCATGCCATATAAATTGCTCACAGCATCAATACCAAGCTAGAAATTGCACCACATTTTTTTGCTCGTACTGTCTGCATATCTACTCGTTATAACTTTTGTTTTGACAACGAGAGCTGTTGAATTTTTAAAAATTGCCGTCCGAAAGAAATAAGCTGCATTTTCGCCTTTTCCAGAATTATTTCACTACTGCTGAAAGTTTTAAAGGGAATTTCGCCTATATACAAGCTATTAATATGTTAGACGAAGAATTATTTGCGGAACCTTGTTTGGAGCGCCATTTCGCCGGGCATTGCTCTGGTATTACGCAGGTGCGGTTTAGTCCGTGCGGCCAACGTTTGGCTACCAGCTCCTTAGATATTTCCGTGATTTTGTGGGATCTAAAGCAAGCTGCGCGTTGTATCCGTTTTAGTGCGCATTCAGGAGCTGTGGATTGCGTAAGCTGGTCTCCAAAATCAAATTTAGTGGCTTCGGCGAGTAAAGATCGCACTGTGAAGATTTGGGAACCGAAAATACGCGGCGTTTCTGGTGAATTTTTGGCACATAGCAAGGCGGTTCAAAGTGTAGATTTTGATCCCAGCGGAACGATGGTAATGTGGTTAATAATAATCAATTATTTTTCACAAAATGCATTGTAATAAGTTCTTTCGAAATCTATACAGCTAATTACAGCATCAGACGACAAAACGCTAAAACTCTGGAAAGTCGCCCAACGCAAATTCCTAACATCTTTCACTGGACATACAAATTGGGTGCGTGCAGCAAAATTCAGCCCTAATGGCCAGTTAATTGCATCGTGCGGCGACGATAAGTCGTTAAGAATTTTCGATACATCTTCAGGCGAATGTGTGCGAACGTTCACCGAGGAAAGAGGTATGGGACGACAGCTGGCATGGCATCCAGACGGTAATCTGGTGGCTTTAGCATTAAGTTGTAACCGCGTTAAGATATTTGACATAGCCGAAGGCGAGCTGATACAATTGTATCAAGTACATTCGGCGCCGGTGAATGATGTTGCATTTCACCCAAGTGGAAATTTCTTGTTGACTGGCGGCGATGACGATACAATAAGATTGCTCGATTTATTAGAAGGTCGACCAATTTATACACTAACTGGCCATACTGACAAAGTTTGTGCCGTCGCTTTCTCTCCAGATGGTAGACATTTTGCTTCCGCGGGCGAGGATCGACAGGTAATGTCTGCTTTGTGTGTGAAAAAACTATATAATATACATTTTTTCTTTATATTCAACAGTTGCTCGTTTGGAAATCTAATTTACATACATTTGATGCCAATAGCTTTCGCAACAAACAAGCCAGTTCTCAAAGAGTCCAAATAGATTTTAGTCATGCAACAGCTCCACATAACTCCGCCATAGACACACCAGCTGCTGGGGCACCAAAAGGCTGTAATGACAGTATTTTAATTGACCCACGACAATCGGTGGCATATGGAATGCGTGATGAAAATTTTCAGGTGCTTGATAGCCAATATACTACAAGAGAGCCATCTCCAAGCAGCTTCACCACACCACACCATCAACAACACGAGTCGTTAGATAAAATAGGAACAAACGCTTCTGCTGAAAGCATCAGTAACAAAAGCAACAGCAGTACCTCGTTTCTACACATGCCAAACAAAAGTAACAACAGCGTTGGCCAGAGAACACCAAGCAAATATTTTTAATTTTCATTTTTGCTTATCTTAAGATTTTTTTCGCTTAACTGCTTGGAATGCTGCTGATGGTATTGCCTCTTTGTCGGACTTAAAAAAATGAAGAATAAAACCATTTGTGTTAAAGAATGGAATTTATACCGATATCTTCATTTATTTATACCATATTTATTAATTTGTTGCCGTGTCCGAAATCTCTTTTTGACACACATTTTTTAGCATTTCTACTATACTTACAAATAAAATCTAGTTTATAAAATCAAATTGAAATCTGTTTCATTTATACTCATAGATATTAAACTTTGAAATGTTGCGGTGTGTTTCGACGCAAACATCAAGTAAAGGCGATTTGGAGTTAGAATTAAGCGCAATACAGACACAATTGGCGGAAATTGTTACTACGTTGCAACAGCTACAGCAAAGAATAATATTCATAGAAAATGCATTGTTTGTAATTCATTAAATGTGATGTGTACATACGTATGTATTTCTGTTTGTATTTTAAACTTTGTACGTTAACAATTTACATTGTATTAAATTATTACTTGAACACGTACAAATTGACATGATAAAAATATGCAAATTGATCTCACCTAAAGATTTGGGAACCTCTAGAAAAATAATTGAGTGTAGTCAAAATGACAATTTTTATAGTGTTTAGCAAACCATTGAACACCCCCTTACTAATTAGTTTTTTTTCAATTGCATTGTTTTTCGAGTTTATTCTTTAAATTTTTGATAGAACTTTTGGATTAACATTAGGTTTGAAAATTGACGATGGCTACATTTATATTTTTATTTTAAACAGATTATTTTTTTGTAAATCGACTTTACTTTGTAAATATGTATCTATTAATATACCTACTGCCAATGCGAATAAATTTTTACTTATTTTTCGTTTTTGTATATTAAAATTTGTGGTTTACGATGAACTCGCTAATTATGTAAATACAATTAATCTTTAAAGAGATACAATTTTACTGGTCCATTTTGTTCTTTTTATGACTTTCAATTTTAATTAAATGTATTATTTAACTATATTTGTTGAGAGTATAACTCAATGGATCGTTTATAGGTAACGATTTTTTTTTTTTTTTTTTTATAATCGCAAAATATAAATTTAATTGGCCTTTTACAGTTTCACTGTTAAGCCTATCGCCGCCACGTTAATTCTTGAATACTTACTTGATTACACCCATTAAACTTCCATTTTTAATTTGGCAATTTTGCGGAACTTGCAAAAAAGTTCGTTTCATTCTTTCACCCCTACATATTGCGTCGCTTTGCCAGTCTTCTTGATAGTTTCCAACAATTCTTCTGAAGTCAGATTCGATGTCACAAGCACTGTTTTCGAATCGAGATCGATACTGACCTTTTCCACTTTTTCCGCTGCGCAAAGAAATAGAGAAAAGTGAAAGTAATTATGTATATACAAGAAATATGCATGTGATATGGGTGAATAGATAACTGAAACTACTTATGCAATCTTAATTGGGGTATTTGCAATCACTTTTATTTTTCCGTCCTAATTAATGCCTGGACAACGCTGATAAGCAAAGATAGTTTGTTGCTAGCTTGATAGAACATATACATACGTATGTGCATATTTGTATTATTTGCAAATAATTCGCCTTGGACATGCATTAAATTGTAAGCCCAATTAATTCATTTATAATAAACACTGCGGTTGTGTAAGCACCGCTGAAAGAACAAGTTTGCAGACGATAAAAACTACTTAAGTTCAGGGACAAGTTAAAAAAAAAAAAAAAAAAAAAAAAAAGGAAAAAAAAAAAAAAAAAA